TTTGATCCGATTACTTATTTACACCCATACCACCGTACCGATATTTTTTCACCCACCATACAATAACTTATAATTATTTGGCAGCCCGATCATAGTAATCTGACGGATAATATATAGATATTTACCTAGAAAATTTATTCATAATATCAGTCCTCTTTATTAATATCAAACATTTATTATAATTACTATTAATAATATTATTCATTGTTATAAAAAATTTTATTTTTTGCAAATATGTTGCTGCAAAAATTCTTAATATATTTGATTCGCGTATTCCTAATCATTAATAAGAAAATTTTATAAAACGTGTAATTATAAGCATATTATATTCTAAAAAGAACTAATCTCCTTGGAACATAATAATGATTTGATCTTGAGCTCGTTTTTTACTAATTCTACAATTGTTTCTAAACCCTATAGCATTGTACTATCAAAATTTAAAATTAGTAATCTGAGAAAATTGAAACTTGATAAGGATATGTTGTGTACTATCAATCTTGATAACATCATTAAGAATTTCGTTTTTCATATAAATGTTATATCAGTCACACGATATGCATATGTAAAATTTTAATATGGGTTAAACGATCGATGCACTTAAATTTTATTATATCACAAGTGATTCTTCATATCTGCCCATGCTTTGATAAGCTGATCCTCGATTATTTAATGCTTCTGTATAAATTGAGCCGATTCCTAATGATTTATTTAAATCTACAAGTGATATTTCATATCTGCTTATTATGCAATAAGTTTCTCCTCAATTGTTTAATGCTCCTACAAAGTTCGGCTCTATTTCTAATATTTTATTTAAATCTATAAGTGATTCTTCATATTTGCCTACATTTTTATATACTAATCCTCGATTATTTAATGCTATTGCCAATGATATTTCAATTAGATCAATTTCTAATGATTCATTTAAATTTACAAGTGATTCTTCATATTTATCCATAAGCAAATAAATTGATCCTAAAATAAGATATATATTTCACAGGTAGAACAATAAATCCTTTTCACAAGTATTTTTTCAAAATTCGTATTTCTTTCGCATGTAATTTAAAAGTTTGGAAAATATTTAGAAGATATTTATAAAGGTTGCATATTACACCAAAGATTTTTGAAAGAATGCTTGTTGAAAAGGTTTATTGTTCTACCTGTGTTTGTAAATAGGAACGGAATTTGGAATTTCAGTGTTAGGGTATAGGTTTATACAAAATATATTCTACCCAAAAATTATAATTTTATTAAGAAATTCAAATTCTGTTCTCACTTACAACATACATATCAGTTTATCGTTCACAATATTTCTCTTATCAATCTATATTTTAAGAATGCTGCTATTTACCACCAGTGGCGATTTCGCCGGGAATATTATATCATAAAGACCCACTAGCTAACACACCTTAAGGGTATTAAGCAAAAATGTTCTGAACCCCAAAAACCTAGCTCGAACTAAAATTTATATCTGACTCAAAAAATAAGGGAGTCAATTTCCCTCCGGTTAACTGTAGTTTCTTTCATTATTTAAATAAGCTATGTAATGCTATAGTAGATATTTATAATAATGTATGAGATTTCCTAGCTAGATAAATCCACTATAGCGAGGATGAACCGTATTGAGAAGAGTTTTTAACAAACTTGAATTATGGTAAATTTGATGTCTAATTATATTAAAAATTAACCCAAGTTCAATTGTGAAAATTAAAAAATAATAACGTATAGATTAATAATCAACAAAATTTATGATATAGAGCATAGATATATTAGAATATACAAAGCTTATCATACAAATATAACAAACTTTGTTAGCAGAATTTCGTGAAAGCTTTATTATAGATTCAATGATATAGAAATATATTATTATGCAACAAGAATCTATAATTCAATACATATATAAAAAGCAACTTTTCATCATGATCAAGAAATTGTTAAACATAGTAGCTTAGTTTTTACTTTTCCTCTCTTTTGATTGCTGGCAGGTAAGTAAATATTTCTTCTTTATCATAAAGTGACTGACCACACCTCCATTCATCTGTATATTGCTTCTTATTAATTCTCTCATATAAATCTTTGATCATTTCATCCTTTCTTTGTTTGAAAAAGATAGCGATAAAAGTTGCATCATCCACGTCATCATTAAAGAATTTCTGTTTTTTTCCCATTAAAAAACAAGCGTCTTTTGTTTCTTTTTCATTATCTTCCCTAAATTTCTTAACTGAATCTCTAAGAAACATTTCTACATTTCCGAACCCTTTTAATAATAAATTTGATTAACTTTATTTTACACAGGAAATTTTTGTACTTGTTTCTCTTACCATCACTTGTCACAAAAATAAACTCAATGTCTTTATTGCTTATTTCAATTAAACCCGATTGTGCTTAAATTTGATAAAAAATTAGTCTTTTTTTTTTTTAAAAAAAAAAAAAAGAATTGACAATTGGACTTACTAGAATATCTTCTATTAAGTTCTATTTCTTGATTGGAATCACGAGGAAATTTTTTGCTTGTAAAATTATGTGTATTTCCAAAAAAAGTGGTCACCTTCACTCCTCCACCGCCTTCGACCATTCGATCAAGCCAATATCTTTTATCTTTGTAAAAATGAGGATCCTCCACTTCTTTCACTAACATACAACGTTCATCTATTAATCATTAGATTAATTAGTATTCCATTCTATTATATAACTTAGATTAAAAAATTTAGTTGCTTACAGTAATTTTCTAAATTATGATTTATAGTAATTCTCTTTATTTTCCCATCTTTGTAACCAGCATAAGCAGGAGAGTCCCCTCGGTGTACCTTAAAAAATTAATTTCACATATATAAAACGAATCTTATAGTTTTGATTATTGTGTAAAAAAATATTACTTACTACGAATGTGGTTTTATTGAAGATTAAGGCAATGGTAGCAGTTGTACCTACACAATCTTCAAATTCACAACCTTCTTGCTTTTTAATAATATCTTTATCGAGACTTTCGAACACACAATTGAAGATGTCTTTGATTTTATCTTTATCAGGTTCACCACCGAGTTTTTGTAATTCTTTTTCTAGAAAGGTTTCATTATTACTATCGCTACTAATTAAGGAACTTAATACAAGCTCAACAATCTCATTTTTATTATGTTTTTCGATACCTATTGCAATAATATATTTTAATAAGATATTTAGATATCTATTAATTTTTTTGTTAAATTAAGCTTTTAAAGAATAAATACTTACAGCCATGTCCATCACAAACAATAGCAATAAGGCAATTTTGAAGCATTTTGTAAAGATAAGCATCTTCTCTAATATCTTTGTGCCCTTGCGTACCCTTACAGCTGGAGGCTACAACATGATAATCCTCCGTAGTCATTATGTCAAATTGGTCATCTGCTACTTCGTTCATTATGGTTTCAAGAAGGACTAATGGACTACTCAGGGTGAATAGAGTGAGTGCTGCGTGATCTCTTTTTTGTCCTTTATTTATTTTTTTAGATCATGATGCGTAATGGGCTTACGAATATGGAACCATCTAGAAATAATTTTCCCTTTGGCCAGAATTGTAAATTTTTGGTCTGTGTAGCGCTTTGAATGTGTGCCAAGTCTGTGGCGCAGATTTACTGAATTACGAATCAAATTTCAAGATCAGGTGCAACGTAACACGATCAAAAAACATCTGTTTTGTCAAAAATCTCTTATTTCTCGAAATTCATTATAAGAAACCACTTTTGGTGCCGTTATCGTTGGGCAATTTTAATATACGAATTATGCAAACTAATCCTCTAACCCATAACCCTAACTTAGGATTCTAAACTTTTAAACCGTTTGCTATATTTGATTGATGACCTTAGAAAGACTTTTAAAATCGCTTTTAGTTATTAATAAAGTTGTAGAAGAGTAACTTCTTTAAAATACTGTATTTAGTTAATTGTAAAGGCCAAAATTTTAAAAATTTTTACAAAATACGGTATGGGACCCTAACCTAACATAAACGAACTTCAAAGAATTTTTGCTGTGTCATAAACCTTGCACACATTCAATTAGTGCATCATATCTTTTTATTTAGATAACTAGCTCTGAATCAATTAGAAGAATTGATTCACTCGAAAAAATGAGAATCGATTAAAATTATTATCATAAAATCGATTTTCACCCTTACCTTATAAAACTATTACTTGTTAAATAAAATCTCGTGGCTTCTTACTAATTTTATTTTGTCAAAAGGTTCGTAATAATAATATCCTGATCCGTTGGGAATTAGCGGAAACTTCGTTTCCGCTTATTCAAATACGGTCAGGGTATTATTAATTAATCCTCCCGTGATCTTGATATAGTGATCGGGGGATTAAAGCATAAATATACTTGTACTAAAGTGCATAACATCAAGCACCAATTTATGTTGTAGAATAGGGAATTCTTAGCTTAATTATAACACAAGATAATTTGATCGTCGGGTTATTCACTACAAAGGAGCGTTAGCGAAAAATTCTGATATTTAGTAGACTCGCCGGACAACTCTCTGAAAATAACCTACTTTGGATATAATGAACATAGTTGCAATAACATACGAATAGACATTATGAAAAAAAAAGAAACACATCTACTTAACACATGCATTTATGAAGTTGTAATATGTATAAATTTCTTTTACCAAACCAAATTGCAAATTATAATGTGAGAATTGAATATGTATGTATCCAATTACACCTCTTGAGAATTCCTGATAATAATAAATATTGCTAATGAATAATAATAATAATAATAATAAAATAAATAAATATTTGCTAGATTTTTTTTCTAAAGTATTCTGGCCACAAACATTTAGTCATGGTTTACAAAGCTAAATCAAAGAATCTCATTATGATGAGGCTCGTAATGGTATAATATAATCCAGGAATGAAAGTTAGTATGTAGTCATTTTTTAATGTCCTTTTGCTTTAGCCTCGATTTTGTTTTAATACTCAAAAAAAAAATTAATTTTTTTTAATACTCAAAAAAAAAAAAATCAATTTGTTTTTAATACTCAAAAAAAAAAATCAAAAATTTTTTTGATTATTAAGATGAGGTTCACGATAGTATAATATAATCTAGAAATGAAATCAGAGTGTAATTGGCTGATATGCAATGTTTGACAAGTTTTTTAATATCCTTTCGCACAGTCTTGATTTTTTTAATTTCTGATTAACAAAATTAATGTATAAATAATTTCATGATATTACATGTGAGATTTTACAACCAAATAAAAAAAAATAAAAAATCTTTCTTGACTTTGACAATCAGACAAAATATATGCAAAAACCTGTAAATATATTAAAAAAAGATACATTATTAATAATCTTACAGTCAGCATTTTTTTCTGCTATAAGTACTAATTCTATAAAAGTACTGATTACATGCACATATGTACTAATGTTCATATGTATTGTACATACTAGTCATTAGAAAAATGGCAGAAGTTTTGTGTGTCAATCTCTGCATAACAGTAATATATATATACAAAAATAAAATGATCAATCATACTGCAAATAAAAGTCATAATAATCAACTAGTTATTGCAATTATAAAATTAATGTTATAGTAAACCCAAGACACACCAAGGGATTTAAATGGGTTGTAGATATAAACAAAATAACTCTTGAAAGTTTTAAAGAATCTATTGTTGCTGCATATCATTTACCTGAAATTGAAATAGATAATGCTAGTTTACTATTGTAAATAATAGTAAAAAATATATTCTACAAAGTAATTTGGAGCTTCAAAACATACTCTGACTATTTGTATCCAGAAATACGTAGTATGAAATTTACCATACATATGGAGGCATCATTAGCTTTCTCTCTTTAGATTTTTCTAAAGTTTATCAGCTTTATGAGCTTGACAAAGAAAGAGATTCTTTATTGTTAGTATTTTTTCTTCTTGTATGTGGATGTATAGAGTTAAATAATAAAAAGTCGCAAGAGATAACTAAACATCTTGTAATTGATCTTAATTTCCAGTTCAAGGTTATTTCTTTCACCAACAAAATCTCAAAAAGTTAATATATTAGTGCATACTTTATTGCCTTATCAATTTGTTTGAAGACAAATAGACACTCTGTTCTAAGAAAAAAACTCAGGCCTAAATAGTCATAGACCCATAGATTATGCTTTGATTTTATCACAAACTTCAAAAATAATTGATATTGTTGAAGTAAAAGCTCATAAACTTTTACAGAGCATTATATAGAATACTATACAATGTGAGTCAATTTTAATGCATAGCAAGAAAAATATTTTTAGAATTATAAGTGATTCAGAAAAATGGTTTTTTTTGATATGCTTATTACGTAGGTGATGATAGAAAACCAAAATTCAGATTATCAAAACTTTTAGTTATTTTTTTTTTTTTTTTTTTATTTTTATTTTTTTTGTAAATGCTATAGTTGAAACTTTATTTAAAAAATAGAAATGATCTATATTAAAAGATTTCAAACTACACTTGTGCTACTGAAAGGCACCCAATGTAACATTATACCCTCTAATTTTCTATATAATGCTATTGTTAATTATTTCTCAATAATTATACAGCTAGACTAGGTTAGAGGAAATCTAAGGTATATATCATGGTATTAAAGAATACAGTTAGTTAAAGAAAAACCTTGTATAAACCATTTTTTTATAAAAGAAGATAGATCTATTTGGGTTAAATTAGATAGTGAAATAGTCTCTAAAGGTAGGGTATTTGGTAAAGTATATTTATTCTGTTTTGCTTTAGCAGTAATGTTTCTGGCTTGTTCCCATTGGTGTGGTGAAATATTACATATAGTCCATATTTCATCGTGGAACTAGTTTAGTAAGTTATTAGATAGGAGAATAAGAAATTGTTTGGTTTGTTTAGCAGTACATGATTTAATATTTTCATAAACAGTTAAAGGGTAGATACCAGAAACATAGTGTAATAAAAGATTATAGTGAGGGTTATGAAAGTTAAGTGTAAAATGGAGAAGAATATTAAGAATAGTAATTGGGGATATATTTGTGATTTTCAGGGAAGCAAGTGAGTTAATAATTATATTTGTTAGAGATTGTTGAAAATTAAGATTATTATTGGGACACAGAAGTATGTGTAATATGTTTTCCAGATTGGAACAATGAGTACAGTTTGGTGTAGTATATAGGTAAGGGTATCGGATATTTAGATTTTCTATAGTAGAAAGACTATTAGTTAAAATTTTAATTCTTAGAGAGTATTTAAATGGATTATTGTTCAGAGAATTTAGAATATTAAAATATAAGGTCCAATGGATGTTAGATATGTTATTAAAAACTTTAAGTGAAGACCAAGAATATAATTCTTGTATTGTATAGATATTTTTAATAA